AGGTTACAGGGAGGTTACATTGATACCACACAATCCTAGTATTTACATATCTAACACCTAAACATTAATCATTAACTTTAGGTGTTAGATGCGTAACTAAACATTAATCATTCAAAGCATAGTAATAATGAGTAAATTTATCATCATTGTATTTGAATCAATCTCACTTGCTCGGACAAGAAGAGAGATCCTCACAATCTCCCCAAGATGAGATGTCATCAGACCAAACACCCTGCAAATTAGCCAATCAAAATATCAACAACATGACATAATCCGCATGATAATCTTTTCCTTTTCTTTTTTTAAACAACTTAACTGTTAGATACTCCATGACGAGTAAATTCATTCCCTAATCGTTGATTCACTTATTGCGTCATATTCGTGTTATTTCAAGGCTCATAAATGATTTTTGCCTTCACACTCTGCTTTATGAAAAGAAAAATCAAATCTAAATAACCGTATGCATGTTTTCACTCCATTTTTTAGTTTGGTGTGTTGTCGTGGTTGTCCAGACATACATTGTTCGGATATAATATTTTCTCGTTTAGAGCAATCTGAGGGGGTGTTTGTTAGCATGAATTTAAGATGATTTAGTCATGAATTGACATACACTTTCCGGATATGATATTTTCTCCTTTAGATCAATCTGAGGGGGTGTTTGTTAGCATGAATTTAACAGGATTTAGTCATGAATTTAACGTAAATCCAACCAAACATAAAAAAAGTGAAATTTAAATCATGCGCTCCGTTAAAACGAATATGCTTTCATTTTGTCATTTTTTTCGAGGACAAATCCATGTTTACTAAATCTGATTCCTGGGCGAATTTACAGGGTTCATTCTGCCATGACTCGTATGACTTACTTGAGTAAAGTTATTCTGAATATCCTCAAGAAACAGATCCATGTCTTTCTCATAATAATCTGTCAAAGCTGTGAGGATTATCTCCCTATCCCAGACCTTCAAAATTTTAGAAAAATGTAACATAAATTACAACTGCAAAAAAAAAAAAATGTGAAATTTACAAAAAAGTAAATTTCATTTCATTCAGCATTTAATTTCAGGACTTACATGATGCAAGTTAGATTTGTGCTTGAACCATCTCACCTGAATTGTGTTCCCTCCCTCATCACTACTGAATCCAACATGCATCGGCTAAACAATAAATGAATTAAAATTGGGCCTTCAATTCATCTGCAAAAATTGGTGACAAAAATCATTGAAAATTTGAAAATTTTACCTGATGAATGTCCCCCATGAAATGAGACAGAAATAGCAATGCTTCTGTGAGATTATCTATTCAAAAAGAGAGAGGACGCACGAATAATCAAACTCAGGGTTATGAAAATGGGACCGGACATTAAAGCAGAAGAAGAGAAGGTTCAAGTTTCAATGATTCAATCAGACTTAAATAGGTTGATGTAACAAATATTTAGATTATTTTAATTTAAGACAATACTTTGAAAAACAATATTCCAAACAAAAAATTTAAGACATGATATTTTATCTTTTTTTTAATTTAAAAATCTGATTTATGGCCCTACAATCAAAATCAAAATATTAAAATTGATCGGTTCACTAGTTCTCTAGTCCTAACCCCAGTTCTGACAGTTCAATCCTGATTCAATGTAGAAACGATTTTGAACTTGAACCTAACCAGTCGAGATTCAATGTAGAAACGATTTTGAACTTGAACCTAATCAGTCGAACCGGCACCGGCCGGTTCGATTTGACTTATAGGACAAACATGAATATGACTTTAATTCACACGAGCAGAGAGAACTGACTCACAACGGCGATCGGCCGTGCCATGTTGATAGTGTAGAAGCTGAGTACTGAAATTGGAAACAGCTCCAGCAACACACATATCTTCAGTTCCTTTTGGATCCTTGCAATCTCCTGCAACATAAAATTACTTGCTAAGCTCATAACTTAGAATTTGGTGATGAAGATAGAAGTTCTGAAAAACTGAAGAGTTTTTAGTTACTTGAATAATCAAAGGTGCATGCTTTATCAGGCGTATCGATGAAGTGAAGAGGACTTGTCCACCTGTACTTGTACCAGTGCCTGACTTGATCTGGCCAAACACAGAGAGATGATAGATCTCCCTTGGTGTAGTCTGGCAGCAGGTTTTGGACTGCTTCTGCTGCTGCTTCATGAAGAAGAGACTGCCAACAATCTTAATGTTAGAATTGGTAAAATTTGTGGCGTAATTAAAACACAGAAAAAGAAGCTTAATTAATTACCTGAGCAATCCTACAGGTCATGATATGGCCCTCTTTGCTCCATGACAGAGCTGGTGGAGCAGCTGCTAGCAGAAGAGCAACCATTAATGTGAGGAAGCTCATGGTTGGGGGCGGACAGAAATGTGAATGCTTGACAAAAGCAGATTGATATATTTGTAATGGAAGATGGAAGGAGTTCTATGAGTGCAAGGATAGTATTTCATTAGTTGAAGGCATAGAGACATGTGATTACGTTTCATGTAATTCTTTTGGTTGGATTCAAAATTGGTGAAAGTGAGAGTAGTTGAGTTGATGTTGATGGTAATGGAGACGTGAAGGAAAAGTGATGATTTATTAAAGTGCTGCTTTATAGTTTTGCAGGGGTTGGCTGTAGGATTAAAAGAACTGATTTAAGAAAAATGAACTGATTTAGGTGATGGTAGGGCTGTTAACGATTGGATATCGAGCCGAATTGGGTCGGCTTGGAAAAAAATTCAATCCAAAATTTCGTTATGATCTTGATCTGAGCCAAAATTCACATCAATTTTTGAGCGATTAATAATCTTCGGGCTAAATTCGCTTAATTTACAGCTCTAACGTTACTAGGGCTGCTAATAATCCGATTTCGAGCCAAGCTATGTTCATCTCGAGCGATTAACATTTGTGCCTGCCACACAAGTTGCAAGTGATGTTGCTACTCAAGCTAGTGAAAACTTGCGATAATAGACCACTCTGGGTGATCTAACTTGTACCCCTGATTGGTGAACTCACTCTAGAGCTCCCAATCATTGAAAATGTTTATGACATAGCGGAAGAGTGGTGAAGGGCTTAAAGTAAGCATTAAGGATGGATAGTGAATAACTTGAAGGAAAAAGGATAAGTTTTTATTCTCACCCAAAAAAAGGCACACTCATGGACAATAAGCTTCTAGTAGAAAGTGACAATTTTCACTCAAAATTTTGTATTAAAAAAATAAAAATTAAGTTATATATCATCCCTAATTATAGGGATTACATTGATCAAAATTATTAAAATAAAAAGAGGGAAACTTTAGATGGAAATGTAGATGACCATTAGACGTAGCGGAAGAGTGGTGAAGGGCTTAAAAGGTGAGAAACACCTTTCTTTATTAATTAGTTTTTATGGTCAGCCCATATATTCTCGTAGCTTTGAAAGGTCAAACTTCTAGAAGTTAATGATGAATTATTAAAAAAAATTAAATTAAAATATTTCTTCATGATTAGACTTTTTTTATGGCCCATAAATGGGTTCTTGCTTAGACACTTTCTTGGACACTTATAATTGGACCTTTATATTTACTTATTTCGTCAACATTAAGTGTGGTACATCAACTCTCTTGGGCTTAACTGAACTATATTTTGTATAGTTACAATTTAAGAAGTCTTATAATAATTGGGGGCTAAAGTCTCTAAATCAGTGTGAATGATCCTTGTGTCATCAAAGGATAAATTTTTTATCTAAAAATTTGGTAATGATGCTCCATAATAGAGTTAATGGGTGCTTACTTTGTGTTGATGTAGAAAACTACAAAGAATAAGGGATTATGCAAGTATAAAACTATGTTTTTCTCAACATTACTAGCAGGACTCTCAAGTATTTAGAGGAAATTCACAAAAAAACTTCTTAGTTGTCTAAAAGTCTTGACCAGAGCTTCCTCCTCTCATATTTCTTTTAATATCAAATATGATAGTAGTTAGTGGTCTTTTTAATAAGATTAAGATTTAAAAAGAGTATGAGTATTTTATTTGATATCTAAAAATTGGATCTACAATTTTTGGCATAATATTAAAAGGCTTAGGTGGGTATGGTGGTTAAAATGCAATGAATAATCTATATTCAGCCAATTTAGGTTGATTTGAAAGATCTCTTTGAAAGAACTATTTAATGTTGAGAAAAAGATATAAATGATTATGGATGGTTAACTTAAGATGTATAACTATGATTTGAAATAAATGGTGGGATTGGGATGAATTTATATTAGTGTTGAGGAGTAGAGAATAAGATTAGTTTTTTTATGTTCTCTAGCTTAGCCAAAAGCTATAGGAAGATAATTGAATATTGTGTAATGCTTTGTTTACCGGTTTGTTGAAGATGGAAGATATTTTGAAATGGAGCAAGTGTGTTTAAGGGCTTAAAGTTGGTATTAATGATGGATATTCAATTATTTAAAGAAAAATAAATATGGAAAAATACTTATTTTCACCCAAGAATAAACACACACTTGAGGTCACTAAATATCAATAATAAAGAGAGAACAAAGTTACCTGAAATACTTCCTTTATGATAAAAAACATTCATTATCAATCCTAGAGATTATATTGAAGAAATTAAAGAAAAAAGGATAAAAACTTTAAAAGGAATAGTGTGTAGTCATTAATGGTGGAATGTGGCAATAACTTCCTTAATTAATTCATTTTATTTAGGTCAGCTTATACATGACACCAACTTTGTAAAGTTAAACTTCTAGAAGCTAATTTAAATTGTAATAAATAATATCTATAATTAAATTATTCCTTCATGACTAGCTATCGTGAAGGGCCTTGAATGGGCTCTAGCTTTGAAACTTTCTTATATTCTTGTTTGGGCTCTTATAATTAGACCTTTGACTTCATTTATTTAATTAACATGATGTCCTACATCAAAGATACTTTCAATATTACTCATTCAAAAATATTCAAAATATAAGTTTGTAATATATGTATTGTATAAATTATTTATATAAATGAAACATTGCAAAATACTCACACAAGTTTGCTACCACAAAATGATAATTTTAATATTTGGTAATGATTCTCATGAGAATTATTTGATTCATGGAAATGAAAAAACATTTTTTTCAAAAAGGATGTTGAAAAGATGATTAATAGAATTTAATATTAATCAACTTCATATAAGTGTGAGTATATTTTTACAATTTGATAGTAATTAATTACTCATATATAATAAATAATGCAACTACCAAGCTTTGCCAAAATTAAAATCAAGATTAATTAATTATTCATTCATCAAGTTTTCAAGAAGTATGCCACATTGTTAACCATGATACAAAGTAGTTGGCATATTTATCATTATGAAATATTCAAAATACTAATTTATAGTATATGTCTTATATAAATTATCTACATGGGTGAAGTGTCATAGAAAACTAACACAAGATTGATATTACAGAATGATATTCATCATTCTGAATAGATGTTGATTTATATGCCAAACATCTAGGACTCATGGATGCTAAGCACCATTATTTAAAAAACTTGATGAAAAAGATGATAAAAAGATGTTGCTTTAATAACTTCACATGAGCATGTGCATCTTTTTTATTTAAAAGTGATTAATGATTCATTTTTCAAAATTGACACAACTACCAATCTTAGTAAATATTAATATCAAGATTTTTTGATCATCTATTCATCAAGTTTTTATAAGGTATGACACTCTTTAAAGCACGATATGAAGTTGTTAACATGTTGATTATTATGAAATATTTGAAGCATTACTTTGTGTATTGTTTCATAAATATTTCTTATATGAGTGAATTATAATAGAAAACTCACACAAAATTGATGTAAGATACTTATGTTTTAAGTATTTTTTTTAGTGATATATATGCATGTTTCTAGGACTCATGTAAGTAAAATGTCATTTCGTTAAAAAAATTGTTGAAAATATGATTGAAAGTTCTTGATGTTAATATTTGCTAATCTGCATTGATAATCACACATGGAGCATAAATTACTTTTAAATTATAAATACATGCATAGATCTATGTGGATTATGTATCAATACTTTAAAACATTTTGTGAGTTCTTACGCTACATTCAAATAATGAATGTATCATAAATAAATGTGCATTGAATTTTGATTTATATTTATTAACATTCTATAATATTGTAATATATAACATCCATTATTTTATACTATGAGCATTAATTTGTAATGTGTTGTATTTTAAATTCTTCATTATAATAATAAGCATTACATCATAAAATAAAATCAATCATTGACATAACATGTGACTACATTGCTTCAATAAAAAAATTTATAGTTATTCATAGTCCTACAAGACTATTTAATAATAAACTCAATACTAGTGTTTTACATCAAATATGATTACATTAAATGAAGTTATAAGTATAATTTAGTGTTGGACAATAATTTTTGTTTTTTTCACTATTTAAGTATGAACCCATTTATTATTATTTCTAATGTAAACAGTTCTTGGTTATAACTTATGAGCTGAAAAGAGAACCATATATTGAAAACAAATAACATTTGAATCTCATATTCAATGTTAGAATGATATTTGAACCAATTTTGAATTTCTTTAGATACTGCAATTTTCTCTTTCAAATTCTTATATACATAAATATAATTATTTAAACTGACTAAAATTTTACGAGACTAAAATAAATATAATAATAGATATACTTAATGATAAATAAAAATTAATAAAAAATATTCCTCCATTAAGAAACCTTAATCATACATAATTCAAATATGGTACTGCCAAGGTTCAAATAACCTTTAAAATTAATATTATAGCCTTATTGAAGCTAATTTTGCATATAATGTTTGAATCTTAGATTCCAAAATAGATGTTGGAAACTTATTCAAATATTCTTTCAACAATGAAATTGAGGTTCAAATTCTTTTCATTTTTAACGTAGGGTTTTTCTTTTATTTCTTTCGTTGTAAAACTTGTTTTTGTTGGTGTTGGAAAAATTTATAATTGTATTTGGATTTCATTAAAAAAAAGAACTAACATTGATATTTATTTTAGGGAGCTTACGATGAAGTTTTAATGCTTAAGAATGAGAGATATACTGGATGATGATTGTGCATAGATGTTTAAGGAATTATATCTTTTGAATATTCAAGACTATATCATATATTATTATGATAAATGTTCACATGATTATATGTTATATTATTATTATATGCATTTAATCAAAAATTTTGAATGTCTTCGTTTAAATAAATATATAATAGAGATATTTACTAAACTCATACTTAGGGTCCATTTGAGGCGACCTGTGTGTTAGAAATACATTGACACGAATCTCAAGAAAAATTAACAAACTAAAAGACGAAAGTATAGTCAATGATGATCAATAAAAAAGGATTAAGGACCACTATGTTAGTACAAGACCAAAGGATCCCCTTGACCAATA